ATGCTGCCTGGCCTGCTGTGTTCCTCCAGCTCCACACTTGGTTATCTCTGACTCCAGCATCCGCAGTTCTTACAATCTCATGCTGGTAGACCTACTTGATTTCTCTAGCAGTCTATGTTTGTTTCAGATTTCCAGCATACGCAGCATTTTGCTTTTGTTTATTTGGTTTTCCACCGCACCCCACCCCATCCCACCCCAGTTTTCCAGGATACCTTGCTTATGAATATATGAACAAGGAACAAGAATAGGCCATTTGGCCCTTTAGCCCTGTTCTGCCATTCAGTCTGATGACGTTGTTCTGATTTTAACTTCAACTCTGTATATTCCTGATAATCTTTTACCTCCTTAGTAACCAAGAATCTATCTGCCTCTGTCTTAAAAATATTTAAAGATTCTTCATCCACTGTCACTTTGAGGAAAAGCATTCCAAAGATACTCATCCCTTTGACAGAAATATGTTTCTCCATCTCCATTTTAATTGGGCACCCCTTATTTTTAAGCTCTGGTCCCTAATTCTAGAGTTTCTCACAAGAAAAGACATCAATTAAGTCATCTGACTCTTCTAAACTCCAGAGGATACAAACCTAGCCTGTCTAGCCATTCCTCATAAGCTAATCTGCTCATTCCAGGAGTTAGTCTAGTAAACTTTGTCTGAACTGTTTCCAATGCCTTAACTGAAATAACTCCATGAAAGCCAGTATCCTGTCACTAAGTCACCCTTTATTTATACATGCATAGTACGTGAAACAGACCCAGCTAGCGCAGAGCTGGCCCCTAGAGTGATAGAAATGCTCATACTCCTGCTTATATCTGTCAGCCAGGACTCCCTGATTGGACCAGATTAACAGCCCCAATCAGGGAACTCATATACTGAGGTCCACCTGACGGACATCATTCCAATCAATACCTTAATGTCTTTCTGTTTGTATGTGTAAAATGTCAGGCCATTGCAATCTTTGTTTGCATAAAATAGTGATTGAAATAGCATCTGATATTGTGTGATGGACTCATCAGGATTCTTACAAATAACACCATTTCATTCATAAAGACACTTCATTCATGTCCCATTTACGGTTCAGTACACTTTTGAATCCTTGCTACCTAAACAGAAATTCTAGGATCCAGAAGCAAATAGGGCTGTTTTTCATCCACTAAACGAGCCTGTGCCAACAAGTTGCATTTGAGTGCTGATGCAATGTAATATAATTTACATCTGCTCTATTCAAACAGACAGACCTAGAGATGGTGACTGAGGACTTGGCTCAGAAAGTAAACCGCCCTTACCTCCGCACTCCTCGCCATAAAATTATCCGAGCGGCATGTCTCGTTCAGCAGAAAAGACAAGAGTTCCTGGCCTCAGTGGCTCGTGGTGTTGCTCCTGCAGACTCCCCAGAAGTGCAGAGACGCAGGTACTTGCCCAGTAATACATTACTTTAATAGTCATTTCCATTGCTTTACAGAAGAAATTGATATACCAAAATAAAATACCATGAAGAATTCATTTTAAAGCAAAGCCTTTTAATGGCATGTTTTGCTCTATGGCAACATTTACAGTAATTTGGAATATTTTTATGGATGTATTTTACTGTTTTTGCTGATGAAAATGGTGCAGATCAGACTCATTAGCATTTTAGTGCCTTCCTTCCTTGCATGAAAACTATATCTCTTAATTAGACTTTGTTAATCATAAACATGCAAGTTCTGCATTTGGATAGGTACAAAGATCCATTTTAGCCCAATCCCAGGTTACCTTGTCCTGTTTTCCTGTCCATTAAAACTTTATAAGCAGTATTCACCTGTGTCTGGAAAACCATGTTGATCTCTGTATTGACCATCCATTTCATGGATAAATACAAGTATGTGCATTGTTAATACTTAAATTAACTCACATGGTGTTTACAACCTATGAAACATAAAGTGGGAATCCATGGTGTCAGTTTGAATAGGTTGAAAACACCATAGATTTTTCTTTTGCTGAGGAACATGTGAAGCTGAAATCTTATTTAAAGGTCAGGGACCTATAGCAAAAGTGCATTCTTCTTTTGCAGAAATTATAAAAGGGCACAAATGTGTAGAATACTGGTATATTAATCATATATGATGCATTCCCGAGAACCACCGTTATATAGTGATAAATATGGGTACAGTTTTGTCTGTATATATCTCATAATTGGAGGCTCCATGTTTTTGGCTGTCAGTAGATTATTTTTAACAGAAGTCGAAAAATGTTAAATTCTTCACATAAATTTCACTCATCCCACTTAATTTAAACTATTTAATAATGAAAAGATATTCAGTTAAACATAGCACAGTGCTGTTAAACTACGTTTCTTACGTCTGTAGTGTTAGCCCTGAATTGTACTGTGACAGCTACATTAATTTATAAACAGCTGTAGAACAACTGAATGTTTGAATTTTTACTTCAAAACAAGTCAGTGAATTACAGATGTTGGTCATTAATTCAAAAACTGTTATTATTGGCTGCCCATGTAACTCAATTTAGATTAAGTAAGTGCCATATTGACAGAATTTTGAATTGTTTGTTACAGTTTTGCTGGTGGAACCTGGGATTGGGAATATTTAGGTTTTGCATCACCAGAGGTAGGTATACACTGCTTGTGGTTATATCATATAGCCCTTTCAGTGCAGAGTTTATAGGAGGACCTTTATTTAAAGGAGCTATCCTGAATAGGACATGGTAGTGAATGGTACCACCAATTCTGGGGCCAACCATCATTAATTTTAAAATGTAGGATTTTGTTTTACCTTGTATTAACTAAAATTATTACTTTTCTCTGTGCCAGGCTTTTCCACTTCAGTGCACCATTTTGCAGCCTGACACCATTTCTATAAACTGAGCTTGGTTTAGAGACAGACACAGTAGGTTCACTACTACTTTCTGTCTCTCTATCCCTGGAAGACCACATATGCCAGATGTCAGCCTTTTGTGGGTGTGATACGTTAAAAATAATTTTTTACTTATTTTCTTTATGCAAAACGGCCTGCAGGTATGGAGGACAAGACGTAGAAGGCCTGCAGGTAAGGGTTTCATGATTTCTATTTAAAAGCCTTTTCAGGCTGCAATTACTACACAGGACAGCTCCTTTAAGTGACTTCTCTTCTAATCTAGATTCCAGTTATGTGCATCTTTTTGATATACCATAGCTTCACGAGAATGTGTTGTCTGGCAAATTTGTGCCAAACTTTAAGAAAGAATCTGCCAAATTCACACTGAATGCTGGTAGATACTTGTTACTTAAATGTACATAGAAAGTACAGTTACCTGTATTGTATCCAAGATGTTTTTGACTAAAAATACTGTAATACATGATTTGATTTTGATTTCATTTATTATTCTCCCATGTACGGAGATGCAGTGAAAAGTATTGTTTTGCATGCTATCAGACAAATCATACCTTGCATACCTACATCAGGGTAATAGAACAGAATGCAGAATATAGTGTTACAATCAGAGAAGCTGCAGAGAACAATCAGCTCTCATATGAGAGGTCCATTCATAAGACTGATAACAGCGGAGAAGAAGCTGGTTTTAAAGCTGTTGGTATGTGTTTTCAAACTTTTGTATCTTCTACCCAATTGAAGAGGGTGGAAGAGAGTATAACTGGGGTGGGGGTGGTCTTTGATGTTGGCCGCTTACCTGAGGCAGCGGGAAGTGTAGATGGAGTCATTGGAAGGAAGGCTGGTTTTCGTGATGGGACTGGGCTGCAGTCACGACTCTCTGTAATTTCTTGTGGTCTTGGGCAGAGCAGTTACCGTATCAAGCTGTGATCCATACGGATAGGATGCTTTTTATGGTGCATCTATAAAAATTGGTAAGTCTTTGTGGACACACTGAATTTCCTTAGCCTTCTGAAGAAGTAGAGGCGTTAGTGTGTTTACTTGATTGTAATGTCGATGTGGATGGACCAGGGATAGATCAGTGGTGATATTTACTCAGAGGAACATGAAGCTCTCCACCACCTCTGCCTCAGCACCATTGATACAGACAAGGAAGTGTCCTCTACTCCACTTTCTGAAGTCGATGACCAGCACTTTTTGGTTTGCTGACATTGAAAGATTGTAGTCTTTACACAACGCCACTAAACTATCTCTTTCCTGTACTCTGTCTCGTTGTTTGACATCTGACCCACTGAGGTGGTGTCATCAGCAAATTTGTAGGTGGAGTTAGAGCTGAATTTGGCCACACAGTTGTGAGTGTATAAGGAGTATAGTAAGGGGCTGAATGCACAGCCTTGTGGGCTGCTGGTATTGAGGCTTATTGTGGAGGAGGTGTCACCTATCCTTACTGATTGCAGTCTGCATATGGGTGAATTGGTGTTATTAAACAACACAAATTTGATTGGACAAGGTACACTGCATGAGGAACAAAGCCATACAAACCCAAAGGTCAAAGATGCACTTGTTGGTCTGTACTAAATCAACTGATTACAGGAGCAGAGTTAGGTTGTTACAATTAGCCTTTGGTGTCTTTAGATTAAGAAAAAGATGAAGTTTCCTGTTCCTCTCATCAATTGGTTCTCAGTGGCACCTAGAAAATAGGTATCTGGTACTAAAATGCGAACAAGTTGGCCTCAGCTGTGTTGTATTGCCTTGCACTCAAATGTTAACTGTGAAACTGCATTCCATCAAATTGCAACTAGTGCATGTATATCAATCATTTAAGTATGTTATAAACTACATCAGGACCAGATGTGGTTTTCCATTTAAATAGGTTTAAAGATGAAGAATAACAAGCCATGTCTTTGGTTTTTATTTTAATATGACTTATTCTGATTCTGTGTTTATACTTAAAATAGTAATGCATAGGACAGTTTGCAAAACTATCGAGTACACAACTTTAGTATAGAAGTTTCTGTACGTACTGTACAGACGTCAAAGGCTGAAGAACTGAAAGGTGCAAAAGCAAGGTACTTCTATGTCACCATTGGCAGATGGGTATAATTGCAATATGAAAAGATCAAAGGATATTGTCGTACATTAATAATGGCAGAAGTTGACGAGATGTAAGATTTTTGTGGACTGGTGTTGGCTACATTTTTACTGGTTTACAGCTATATGTTCAAGTACTGTGCAATCTTTTCCTAAAGATGCAACCGCTTATTTGCTGAATTTAGGAATATGCTGAATTCCAGTACCGACGACGACATAGACAACGGCGGCGAGATATGCATAGCCTTCGCAGTAATACTCCAGATCCCGAAGAGCCCAGTGATAGTACCATAGGTAACAGTGAAAACTCATTATTCACATTATTCTTATTTTTCAAAACTTTGAATTTTTTTTTAATGTTAAAAACATTAAGCTGCTCTTAAGTTTCATTTATTCTGTACACTAAGTTGTTTGGTGAACTTGACTTTTTTTTCCACTGATAGAAACTAAGTTCAGACTAGGACCAGAGTGATGAAATTACAAACTTTTCACTCCATTGGCAGTAAAACTCCAAATAAAACTCAGCATGGATAGTCTTTAGCCTAGCCTTACTGATTCCACAACACCAAACTGCATTTCATTCAGAAAACAGTATTACTTGAAAATAAGGGGTACAGAAATTAAGCACTACTATAATCTGATTATTCTTATGAATTTGGGTCTAGAACATTTTTTGCACAATGTACAAGAAGCTTAAAGCATTTGTATTCATGGTCTATTTAAAATAGAAATGCTAGCTTAATTAGATACACTATTTTTAAGCTCAAATTAGTATGCACTGGTTTTTAATCTTAAGGTTTCCTGCAGATGTGCAAACAGTGAAAATTTTCCTCCGGTCATTTATTTCTGAAGTCTTCAAGTCACAAATCATAGGGATTCTATAATTCTATGTTCACACATCATGGCATTGAATCACATGCTGACATTGTAATATTAAAACCACTCAAATATCAGGAGTTACTTTATACAATGTTGTTTCGAAATGATAAAACAAAAGTCTAAAATGTGTAATCATTTTTAATTAAAACCATGCATTCCTGCCTCTCCCTTTTGTCTCTTCAAACTTTTAAACAATGACACATACCAATGCCAATGCTGAGGTATTTATGTTATTTACCACAGAATAGATAAAAGAACTGTTTATAGTACCCAAGATCCTAAAGGTAGTATCTTAGACAAGTCTCTAAGGTTTTGGAGTAGATCTGTAGCTCTGGTTTGGATGTTGAGGTTGGTTGGCTCGCCGAGCTGGTTTGTTGTTTTGCAGACGTTTCATTACCATGCTTGGTAACATCCTCGGTGCAGCCTCCGATGAAGCGTCGGTGTGTTTTCCCGCCTGGTTTTTAAACTCTGGGGTCCGTTGAGATGGATTGCCTCACTTCCGGGTTTCCTTCATAGTGGAATGTCATCATTAAACGGACCAAATTAGAAGAGACACACAAATTTATAAACAACACCCTCACCGGAATAAGATTCACCAGAGAGGAGGGGAAGAATAAACAGCTCCCATTCCTGTACGTCATGGTAGGGTGCAAGACAAATGGGGAACTGCAAACGAAAGTACACCGTAAAGCCACACACACAGACTAGGTACTGAACTTCAATCGTAACCATCCCAGCACACACAAATGAAGCTGCGTGTGAACACTATTTAAAAGGGCAACAACACACTGCAGCAACACAGAACTACGCCAAGAGGAAGAAGAATACCTCTTCCAAGTGTTCAAGGATAATGGATATCCAAAGAACTAGGTCAGAAGATGCCTACAAGAACAGCATCAGAAAGATTCTACACGCCCCGACACACTTATCACACTATGCTATATCAGAAACACGTCGGAATTCACCACAAGACTCCTACAACCGCTGGGCATCAGAGTGGCACACAAGCCCACATCAACCCTACGACAACTGCTCACCCGAACTAAATACTCACTCCCCGCCATGGACAGGACCAATGTCATCTACAAAATCCCCTGCAGAGACTGCGAGAAACACTACATCGGACAAACGGGAAGGAAACTAACAACAAGAGTACATGAACGCCAACTGGCTACAAAAAGACGCGACCAATACTCGCTCATCTCCATCCACATGGACAAGGAGAACCATGACTTCGACTGGGACAACACCAAGATCCTGGGACAGGCTAGGCAGAGACAAGCACGAGAATTCCTGGAAGCGTGGCACTCCACGAAGCATACTATTAATAAACACATTGAATTCGACCCCATATACATTCCACTACGAAGGAAACCCGGAAGTGAGGCAATCCATCTCAACGGACCCCAGAGTTTAAAAACCAGGTGGGAAAACATACCGACGCTTCATCGGAGGCTGCACTGAGGATGTTACCGAGCATGGTAACGAAACGTCTGCAAAACAACAAACCAGCTTGGCGAGCCAACCAACCTCAACATCTTAGACAAGTCCTTAAACAATTGAGTACAATAATATTAGCCAGCAGCTGTGCGGATTATGAAAGAATGTTTTTTAAAGGTGCTGCATCTATACTACTTCTTTGTGTTCTGTGACAGCATAGAACAATGTGTATTAATCCCAAAATTCACCCACAATAAGTTCCAAATCTCTGGTGTTGGGTAGATTCTAGCTGAAAACTGATGTTTCACTTGTGAAAGCTTGTTTATAGTACTTTTAATCAAACTGTTTGTACATGCTTTTGACACACCTGTGGAGCAAGTGGGACTAGAACCTGGGGCCTCCTGGTCCAGAGGTAGGAACACTACCTCTGCACCACAAGAGCCCATGCAAATTTGTTACATAGCAGCAGTAGTTACCTGCTCAGTCAACTAGAGCCTGGTATTTAGTTCTTGGAGATAGCTAAGGAAAAGAAGGGATGCATTAACTCATTATTCAAACAAAAGAAAAATTGACTCTAGTCTGCACTTGGAGTCTTTGTGCAGTCACTTCCTCCAAAATTGAGTGTGGTCAGCGAATGAAGTTGAAAAAAATCTGGAAATGCTTGTTGGTGCAGTGAACGTAAGGTATTTTTTATTTACAATGCTTCTACATACTTTTATTCTGCTGTCAATGCTTAATCTGCCTGATTTGAAAGTCCTTTTTACCAGCAGTTTTAATTCAGTTGAACAATGGTTGATGTGTAGTGGCGTCGTGATTATGTCATTGGAGTATTAATCCAGGGCCACAGGTCTATTTTCTGAGGACATAGGTTCGAACCCCACCATAGCAGGTGCTGGTCAACTTGATTACGTGATTGCAATTAGACTCAATAAATTAGACTATTTGAATTAAATAATGGTAACCGTATAACCACTATTGATTGTCGTAAAAGGCATGAAAATAAAGAAATCTGCTATCCTTAGCTGGTCTTTTTACTGTCCTCCAAGATCGTGCAGTTGAAGGATGAGAAATGCTGGCCTACAATGCCCACATCCCATGCATGTATCATAAAACCAAAGAAATTAGGATATTCAATTCAGATTACAGCATGTGGTCAAAACGTAAGATGAAGAATAAAAACTGAACATAGTTTAGTACGTTTTTAGCCTTATTTATTTTGAGCCAGTTAACTTTTCGACGGCAATGTTTCAATTTGTCCAAGTTGCAGGAAATATCTATTTTTGAGCCAATAGAAGTTATTGATGAGCTGTTTCCACAGAGAACAAAGATAATCATTTGTACCTATCCAAACGTGCGTTCAGTTTAGAACTACTATTTTAGTTATATTTTATTTTGTTATTTCATTCTAGATACCCATGAAGAAGGTAACAGCAGACGACATGCTTCCATGGTGAGTTCAGCATCCATGAGTATTTTGCACAGCTCTTCGCTTCATGACTATACACCTGTCAGTCACTCTGAGAACCAAGACTCTCTACAGGTATTTCTCTTAGTGCAATCCACTATCCTTCAACTACTTTTGCTTTGCTGCATGTTTAAGTTGGATAAAAACATAAATGTTGCACAGTTGCATTTATTTTGATTAATATTCTACAATTTATCAGATATTTAGTAATTCATAACTAAACAACTAAAATGCCTATATTTGAGAATCCATGGAAAGAATTCTTCACAATCTAGTTTTTGGTATGTAACTTATGGCAGAGTGTGATGTCAGTCACTTGTACTTAAGTCGGTAATTTCGAACCTTGAACTTGCTAATCGCTGAAACAGAAACTGAAGCTGAGGGCTGGTAATTAATGTGATAAGTCCCCTATTAAGTCCCACAAAAAACCTGTCAGAGGGATTGTAATGAGCATTTTTGTATATCTATTTTCTGTAGATTGTAGAATTTTTTTAAAAAATTAGGCCATTTCAGTTTTGAGGTTGAGTAAGTACAGAATCAGAATACTTGAAGAAAATTGTTTGGATGTATTTCATTTCTTTAGGTTTTTCTTTTGTTGACTGCTCCATGACTTTGCTTTTCTTCAAGTATTTGATATCGCAGTGCTGAGCTGCCAGTTCTCCACAAAAGCTGCTCTGCATTATGGTAGGCAGGAGTAAGCAAAGAAGGAGGATTTTGTTTTACAACTCAAGTAACTTATCTTGCAGTCTGTGGGTGGGTACTCACCTCTGCTCAGCATCTGTGTGGCCAAACAAGGATGGAAATTTGCTGTGTGGGGAATTATGAATGCACTACTTTGCATCATTACTTCGGTACATCTGCCAATGGAAAGATCTGACATTATACCAACCTGCCACTTTGAACAAAAAGTACACTCGGATGAACCCCTTTTTTCCCCAAAGTCCTGTGTAATGATTAATTGTCTGTCTGCAATTTGTAAAGCTTACTATTGTTAGCAAATGGTATTTCTTGTTTGTTCTGTTTGCATCCATAGATTTGAATTTAAAATGGACTTGTACCTCCAACCCTGTCATTCTTAAAACATATTACTGTGTTTTGGGTAGTCTGCTGTTTTTCATTGTAAGATTCTGTTCAAATGGTTAAAATAGTTTCTAATCTGCATATCTGAATGCATAGAAGAAAACTATTGACAAAGTCTTGGCATTTATGATACAATTGTTTCCTTTCTGTTAGGCTTTGAGCTCACTTGATGATGATGACCCAAATATCCTGCTAGCTATCCAGCTGTCTCTGCAAGAGTCTGCCCTTGCAGTGGGTGGTCAGCCGCAAGACTTCCTTAACAACGAGTTATCTTTAGGGGCCATTGGTACTTCTTTACCTTCAAAGCTTGATGCAACCCAGAGAAGTACAGACACTGCTGGAGCTTTGAGCAACTCTCAGCTGATGGATTTGGAAGACAGCTTTATGAGATTGGGTAACAGTGATCCTTACTCCAGCAGGTTTGGTAGCTCTCAGCCTTTTGATGTACAAAGTAGATTATTTTCATCTGCTGAAGGAACTGAATCCACAGATGCAGATCCTGCCATGAATGCAAATCTCCTTGGGAATATCATGGCATGGTTCCATGACATGAATCCTCAGAGCATTGCATTAATTCCTTCAGCATCTTCTGAAACTGACATAAATTCTCAGCAACTCAGCAGTGCAGAGGAACAAGGATCAAGCAGACTTGAGATGCTCCAGAGCCTTCACGAGGACCATGCACTGTTTGAAGCTACAGTCATGAGTGAAGGTAAAGGAACCCAAGTTGAAGAAGTTTCAGAAAGTATTGGTGCTACAAAATCTGAGCCACAAGCAGAAACATCAGGTGTGAGTGACAGCAGAAGTGTAATGTTGTTGGGTGATAACTCCCAGCAGATTAACACGTCATCAAATGAATGGGAAGAACAAATTCATTTGGTGTAAACGCAACGGTGTAGGCATCTGTTGCAGTCACTTATGTTTTGTCCCAAAAGCTTAGTTCAGCATGGACCCCAGACTGATGTATCATGTAGGAGGGCTGGGGAACCCATCAGTGGTAGTGGGATCCATAAAAGGTTTGAGCTCTCAAAAGGCTGTTTCAGTTGTCAGTCCTGCACCAGTCCCTGAGTTTTCAATGAAGAGCATAAAACTTCTGGATCCTTGGTCTTTAACTTATTGTACTTACCAACTAGCAATTCTAAAGGATCTAAACTAAAGTAAAATTACTGGTAGAAACTTGGAAGAGAGGCTATCTTATCCAACAGTACTGTTGGTATCACCGAGAAATGCACTATAGAGAGCCTTTTGGAATATGTAGAAGCCGATTGCAAAAGAAAGGAAGCACTGCCTACTATAAGTAAAATGTGGTGCCAAAATTTAAGCAGTTTAAACCAAGTAAATCTAACTTTATTACATTCAGCTTGTGCCTGCACTAGTCTGAACGAATCAGAACTCTTTGGAGTCATCTCCAGGAGGTGGCATCTTTTAATGGAATTTGATGCTAATTGGAACTCAAGTGGCATGGGTGCTGCAGAAATGTAGCTTACACTTTGATTTGTTCAGTGGTTACTGTTTTAAAACAGATCATTTTTTAAAATCAGAAGTGGATATTAACAGGCGCACTGTGTTTGAACTCCACAAACACTTTATTGTAAGTGCAATCGTAGAGTCTTTTCCTTACTATAAAGAAGTATTCAGTTAAAGGCACTGTCAGTGCCACTGGTGTTAAGAAATAAACTTGAAATATAGGCCGAAGAAATCTTTAATGCAAAGCCATCCCTTATAGGCAAAAAAATACAAATGACATGAAAGCCACAACAATCAATCAAAAGTCTGGCCTACTCAGTCAGTCCATCATTGTGCCTTTGCCTGACCCACTTGGTTGGTTGCCACATATTTTTGAAGCATCAGAGACTGTCACTTTAAGATCAGATGAACGCAAGTATGACTCTGAAAATATTTTAGCTTGATTGTTGCCAATTGTATTTTGGGTGGACAGTTTTGCATCAAATATTGGGTATTGTTCTGTGGAGGATTTTAGTGATAAGTTTCACAGAATGCTAAAATTTGGTTGATGTACAAAAAAAATTAAGCTTTTTCCAAGGACTAAATCATTATCTGGAATGAACTAATTGTGCTAATTTTTATTAGAAAAGTTTTTATTTTTAAAACCATCATGCTTTAAACCAAGTTGCTTTTTTAACTTGGAGAATTTAATTCAGTTTTTAAAATTTGGAGCTTAAATATCAACCATGCAAAGCCCAAGATGTGTAACTGGTTTTAAGTTTGAGATGTTTCTCTCACAGTTCGGTTTTACCTTGAGTCAGTCTGTGACAATGTAGTGTATTGAAGTAATTTCAGTTTGATATTGGAAATAAAAAGAGATGTTTTACATGGCATTGAATATGTACTGCAAAGTTGAGATATGTAAGGCTGTTGTATATGGAGTTAGTAGTTTTGTGGGGTTTTGTTTTTGTAAAAGCATTGTTTAATTTGTGGAGTTTGAACCATGGTCCATTCTGTGTAATGTTGGCTGTGCATGGTGACAAGGTCATTCGGATTCAAAATTGTATATTCTGTTACAAATTTTAAATGTCTTGGAATAATTTGAAAATCAGAAAAAAATGCAAGACTATTTTTTAAGACAATGGGAATTTTATAATAAAGCCAACTGTTAACCTTGATTTTTCTCTGCAAAAATGTTACTATTTGCACTTTCATAGTACTATACTTGATACATTCCCACTTTATATATTGATAACAGTAATATTGAGATGCTTGGCCAATGCAAAGTACTTAAAACAGTTAAACTGTACAAAATTAATTTTTTAATTGGACATATTGTTCTAAAGAACTAAAATCTGCAAATTGTTTAACTTCATAGTCGGACCACCTACCTGGATTTGTGAAGAGAACCTGTATTTTCATTTCTTTCTTCTTTCTTTCTCAAGCTCCTATAATTCTGTTTTAAATTTTGCAAGTCAATACTCTTCCTCTGAAGTCAAACAATAAAATTCAGTTCATTCTCATGTTGTTGGTTTCAGTGAAAACTGCAGTTCTATATTTACTGTTTTCAAAGTATAATTTCCTTTTATTAAATGTAATATCATGGAAGTGGATAGTAGTTTGAGCAACAATTGTAAATTAATATTTATAATAAATTCACATTTCTGAACTTTTTAAAATAGAAATGGTTGATGTTTGTTCGGCATAATGCTGAAATTGCAGATATGCTGGATTGCTTTTACATAAGAGTGATCCAGTTAGCAACAATGCACGTGGACAAGGCTGGTCTCTGGCTTGGTCTCTGGAGACTGCTGAGCTGACTAGTCTGAATTTGAGGCATTGGTCAGGGTGTGATAAATGGCCTTATTTCCTTCTTAGAAACAAAATAAAAAGTGGTTATTATCCAAAAACTTCTGGCAGTCATCACCTCACTTTCGATGATTATATTCCACCATATACAGAAATAGGAACATACCGCTTAAAAAGATTAAAAGAACCTGATGGCTTAGAGCCAAGAGTTTGTCCTT